ACTTAATTTGGTGGTTTAATGAAATAAAATCAACCTTCATTGCTTGTTCCCTTGTAGAATATGATCAGCCTTCAAAAGATGATAAAGGTATTGAATGCTAAGTTTTGAATGCTAGTTATTGCATGTCCCCTTGATTGAACATGAATGGCCTTCAATGGGTGATAACATCAACCTTGAATGCCTTGAATTGGTGAATTAAGATGGCCATCAATTTCTTGTCTCTTGGTAGAGGATGAAAGGACTCTTCTTGGTTCAAATTCATCCAAATCATCCTTGTATAAAATTCCCGTAATGAAAATTTCAGCATGCACTGTCTTCAGTAAATTGATAATATCTCAAGCTCCCGATATCGGATTGAGGTGATTCAAAAGGCGTTGGAAAGATAAAAGATAGATGAATAATGCCCAATTGATTTCTGGACCCAAAAACGTCTGTATCACATCCATAATTAGAAGTCATTCTGACTAATATTCTTGCGTCTGTTGAAACCGTTCAACTTCTCTCATGCACCACTACAAGAAAATATACCTTTAATGACACACGAACGATGACACACGCTAATCTATGACTTGAAAAAAAATATTTGTCATAAAAATGTCATGTTTCTTAAAATCTGAACGATTTATTACTTACAATAATGTGTGTCATATTTAATAGTCATAATCCAAAAAATTTAGCAAACACACTGAGTACACTTTTCATTGTGTGTCATCTCTAAAAGTCGTCTTTTAATTTCCCCCCATAATTTTCATCACGCATGCTTTCCTGCTTCTAGTCCTCCTCAATCATCAGTTCACATTAAACCTATGTTTCCCTTTTTTCTTTTTGCATTAATTCACGCACGCATGCTTCCCCCTTTTTCTCTTTGCATCAATTCACGCACGCATGCTTTCCCCCTTTTTCTCTTTGAATTAATGCTACCAATAAACACGATATTGAGAGATCAAATGGAGAATGCTTCTTCCCCAAACCCTACCCCTCCAAAATCCAAACGAAAGCACCCAAAATCATCTAATGAGAACTCTCCGCCTCCAGATCCAAACTCACAACTCTCCCCCGCCGCAACAGCTAATATCAAGTGCTCCTTGCCACCTCGTCCGCTGTCCTCCAACCCTCTCAAACGCAAGCTTCTCACGGAAAACTCCATGGAAGCCCCATCTCTAGAGCTTCCGATTCCGGTGTGAAGGTATTTCATTTTTTAACCAAAAAAATAGGTCTCTCTATTCTCTCTATTCTCGTTGCTTTAACTGTCTCATTTATTTGCCACATTTTTTGTTACATCGTTTATTGGGTGAATTGTAGATTTGGAAGCAAAAGCTGGTACAAATGGGAGCTAAGATTGAGACTCAGTTGTCGGATAAAGTGACTCATGTTTTTGCTATCAGTTCAGGTGCTCTTTTGCACCACGTCAATGAGGACCAATTGGCTCGCTTCAAACGGGTCAATGCTCTTTCTCGTCTTTTTAATTTGATGGTATTTCAATGGAATACTGGAAATTCTTTGGTGTCCTGACTTTGCTTGGGGAAAACCGCAACATTTCAATTCGGTAAATTGATAAAGAACATGTAATTATACTTCAATGATTATTTTTAAATTCATGATTTTTAGGGTTGTGTTTGGGAACTTAGATTTCAAGAATGAACGGTAGTGTATGTTAAATGAAACACAAGTGACATTCATGATTATAGATTTAGGTTAGCAGTGAATTTGCCATATTTATAGATATTAGTAAATTTGAAATTCATATGTTTATACCTTTTACATATACAACCATACTGAACCTTAACTAATTTATACATAATGCGTGTAGTTTGTTCCCATAATTTGTATAACAAAGGAAATCCAAATCCAAAATTTGAAATATATATTCTAAACAGAGCTTGGCGGTGGATTTGAAATACTTGTAGGTATTTTTGAATTTGTAATTCATCTTGTTATACCCTTTAAAATGTATGGGTATATTGAACTTTAGCTGATTTGTATTTAGTGTGCTCGTTTCATTCTCACAATTTATATAGGAAGCTAAGTCCAGATTCATTCTATCAAATTCATCTTCCTGACATTGCAAAATTGTTATTTGAACAATTCATTTATAGTCACGTCTTTTTCAATATTTGTATTCAAATTGTACCTGTAATTGGGAATCCATTTTGATGTTTGTGCGTATGTTGGAATTTATTTCTGAAGTGCTTGCTTGAAGTATAAGTTGTTTTGCAATAAATACTTGTTGCAGCATGTCCTGTTGTGTCAGTGGTTGGAGGACAGCTTGGCAGCTGGTGAAAAGGTTTCTGAGGATTTCTATACCCTGAAAGTGGATCTGGTAGGACTGGATGCACATGACAAGAGTCAAAAACCTAAACTAGCCAACAGAAATTCTTGCGACTATGATGAACAGTTAAATTGCAAAAGGATCAAATCCTCACCCGAGGAGATAAAGCAAACTAACGAAGAAAGGAAAGGAGATATAGAAACTAACTCTGCATCAGCAACATCAGATACTGAGCCTCACTCTCCCAGTTCTGTACCTAGCAGTCCTGAAAACCTCAGTACTCAAGATAAGGATGTGAGTTCCCTGTTCCATTGTTGGTTCTGATGAAAGTTGAAATTTGTCTATTTTGTCCACTCTTTTTGTTTGCATAATGCAAATAATAGCCTTAAAAATAAGCGTCTTAACAGTAAAGTGTATGCTTTTAAGTTTCAAGCTTTTGTTGTGATATTGCTTGTTTTATACTATGTTCGGTGATTAGGTTGGCACACCTACACCTTTGCAGCACATTCCACCAGATTTTAACAAAGACATCACAGAGATATTTGGGAAACTTGTGAACATATATAGAGGTGAGACTTGGTTGTTCTTCAGATATGTGCCATTACTGCTAGTTACACATTGCTTTCTAAGGATCTAACATGATATGGTTAATTTCTTTCAAAAGCATTGGGTGATGACCGCAGATCATTTAGCTACTACAAGGCTATTTCAGTTGTTGAGAAGCTGCCCTTTAAAATTGAAAGTGCAGATCAGGTAAAAGGTCTGCCTGGAATTGGAAAGTCAATGCAAGATCATGTAAGTGAACATGTTATGATTTGAACTTTTGCTTGCAGCATTTGCTGCTTAGTTTGGTTAATTTGTTTTAATTTTTCCATTTAAGCTTTTATGAGAGGGCAGTGATGTAGGACAGAGGTAGAAATATAAATTACCGAAACATGTACCTTATAACTTTTAGTCTCTCTTTTTTTTTAATAAAAACCTTTTAGTCCCCTAAAATTTATCCCAGACTGTTGGAATATTCATGCAGATTCAGGAGATAGTGACTACTGGAAAGTTATCCAAATTGGGACATTTTGAAACTGATGAGAAGGCAAGATAAAAGGTTCCTTTTCAATTTAATTTAGACTACTCTTTTCTTTTTATTTCTTTGGGCTTACTTTTACAAATATAAATTTTCTTTACAATGATTGGCCCATATTTATATTTGGTAGTAAATTTTATGGAGAGGAAATGCTTGCCAGTACTTTTCTACTTTACAACATTTGTTTTTCAATCTTTTGCAGGTAAGAACAATAGGTTTATTTGGCGAAGTTTGGGGAGTTGGCCCAACTACAGCCCTAAAATTATACGAGAAAGGACACCGCACATTAAATGACTTGAAGAACGAAGATTCTTTAACAAATTCTCAAGTGATAGGGTTGAAATATTTTGATGATATTAAGACAAGGATTTCTCGGCATGAGGTTAGACTACTATGTTCCTGCCAATGATTTTTATGATTGAAAATTTTGAATATATCCCTATCTTTGTGGAATCATTTTCGTTTTCTGAGTTAACAGGCTCAACACATGTAATCTCTTTTACAGAAAGTTGCAGATGGTATTGTACCTAGGGGGAGCACTCAAATTTTAGACTAAACTAAGATTTCATAATACTTTAAAATTTGAATTTTTGTGAAGCCTTATTCTACTGCTAGAAGTTTTATGATGGTGTTCCATTATGTTTTGTACATATAATGTGTATACAGATTAAACTGATATCCACCCTTTCTACTTTAGCTTTTCCTCGCTGAAAGGAAGGACTAGTATAAAAAAAATACACAAAATATGGGAGCTTTGACTACTATATAAGAAAAAAGGTTGTTTAGTCAGTTATTCATGTGTGCTATGATTAGGGATATAATTGAGCTGAGTAGAACTGATACATCGTTAAGCTCAAAGTCGGCTTTATAAGAAATCTTGAGACTTTAAATTTGGATTGAGCTTGACTGAGCTTCTTTTTTCATGCTTGAACCCTTCTTGTAATTCACTCGAGACACTCAAGCTCAACTTGCTGGACTCGATTATGTCTGATAATTTGTTAATATGTACATTAATCACTATATTTTATCCATTTACTAGTTTCTTTTAGAAATATTGACTATATTAAAAATGAAGGGTGGAGAGCCTTAAGCGTTAGTTAATTAAAGTACTCAATCTTGATTCACTCAAGTAGCTCAAGCTTGAGTTTAATAGTAATCGAGTCATTTAATTATTTACTCAGTCAAGCCCGAGTAACTGACGAGGAGCTTGACTGTGTACACCCCTATTTGTAATGGTGCAGTTGCCTATAAATTTATTTTTTTAATACTCTTAAGGTACACTTCAGCTCCGTGTTTGCTTATGGCCAGGTACTGGCTTCTTCATTTTCTTTGATTTCACGCGTGAAATACTTTTGTATTGATTAATACCGTTTTTCAATTTCTGGGTCCGAATAAAATGGTTTCATTAGACTGGCAGTGGAAAGGCTTATACTATTTGGGGTCCATCAAATGCCTTATTTGAAGAAAATTTATCAAGCGACCAGCAGGCTTAACTCCTCGTATGTTTCAGCGTTTATTTGATCGTATAAATGAGGTGAAAGTTTTGAATTTATGCATCAATGAATTTGTTATTTTTTTTAATTTTAAGAATGGACCATTTTCAATAGTTTGTGTTTTGACCTTCTTTATTCTATAGGAGAAAATTAAGCATGCTGATGAACATCTCAAGTATCAAATCCGCTGTTCTTTTCTTGAGGTAGAGTTAATTGAATTATTTTGATTCTTAGTTTTGACATAATTGGACTGCTTAGGTTGTACTATTCTTGTTCCTTGTCACTTCATTTTCAATTTTCTTTTGCAGATATACAATGAGCAAATAACAGATTTATTGGATCCAAATCAAAGAAACTTGCAGGTAGAATGGATTATTATTTAACATTTCAGTTTTCATTTTTTACTGGACAAAAAAATTGGGTTTTCTTATATTGTTCTATCATTTTCATCCAGATAAGAGAAGATGTAAAATCTGGTGTCTATGTTGAGAATTTGACAGAAGAGTATGTGAATTCAATGAAGGGATTGACTAAGCTACTGTTAAAGGTTTTTCTTCTTTTTCTTTCTTTTCCTTTTGGCCGATGCTTTGATTGCTAATTTCTTAATAATCTTTCATGAAGAAGATACTCAATTTTTATATTTAGAATGCTAATGCTTTTCTTTTTCTTGAGAGAAATGGATTGGACCATTTATTCCAGTAATAAGATGCTAAATGAATGATGTAGGGATTATCAAGTAGAAGTACTCTCTCAATCATTTATTTGCTATGTAAAAAGGAATTTTCTTATATACCATGTCATTATTTATTTGCTAATTTCTTAGATACCCTCTCAATCATGCTTGAGGGATTCAGAAGTACTCTTTATTATTACAGAGTGTAGCCAATGGTGTAAGTTGCTTTAAAACAAGTCGGATAAATTTCGTTGATCTAGCTGGCTCAGAGCGACAAACGTTAACTGGTGCTACAGGGGAGTGCTTAAAAGAGGCATACAATATTAATCATTCACTCTCGCAGCTTGGGTATGCTATCATCCTTAATCTAGACTCTCTAGTTGTTATTTAATTGTACCAAAGGGTAGACATTTTTCCAATTTTGTCATAGTTTGATGCATAAACTATTCAGAATCTTTTAGCTTTCAAATAGTTAGCAAACTATAGTATGGATGTACAATTTAGATGCAAGAAATGGAAAGGAGGAAGATGAGATTGATAGAGCATTGTTGTGGAAAAAGGTAAGACAAATGAAAAAAGAGGTTATGACCCGAATGTCCAGATTGCTGTTGATAAAATGGTAAGTTCCTGTGAACATTCCTACTTTATTTATTTTCTACTTATTGTTATAGCACCAAGTTAGTATATATATGTCTACTTATTTCAAACTACTTTATTTATTTCCATACTTGCAATAATCTTATTATTATGATTAAAATAAAACTTCTCCCTTGTTGAATCAATGACAAGAATCAGATTAGTTCTTGCAAACCTGGTCAAATATGAATCTGTTGGCTACACGTTTGATGGTGGCAGCATCAACTGCATCAATTCTGACAAATAATTCAGTAAATTGGATTCTTCGCCCATAAGTAAGTAGTTGCAACAACAAAAACAATCAACTACAAATAAGTCTTCATCATGCCATCAATTACTATAAAGTATTATGAACAATGCAAAAGAGAAAATCATAAAACGTCTTCATCATGCCATCAATTACTATAAAATATTATGAACAATAGCTCTACCTCAATATAAACAGAATCTGATGGATCACATGTGATAAGTAAGAAAAAAATAGGTCCTATGATGCAATGGTATGTTGCATTCATTCCATTTTTGTATTATTTTATTTCTTTTCTCCTCAAACACCAAATACCACTCTTTCTCATAATCAAAACTCTCATTTGCAACATCTCCTGATTCAATGTCTTTAGTTAAAAAGAAAACGGGTCAAAATCACCCAAAGTATGCCCGCGTGGAGTTGTGATTGGTTCATAGAGTAATTTTAAGCAAACAGTGCAGAATAAGTTGAAATACTCACAAAAATCAGTGCATTTGTCTTCAGGATATATGCAATTAGAGAATTATTTTTTAAGTTCATAAACTGCTCAACGTCCTTCAATGCAAGCTGAATAAACAAACATCAAACTTTCAAAAATGATAGGATCATCTGGTTTGATATATTTCATCAATTTTTATAGGGAAATGAGATTGTACACTGCTCAAACTGGATCTAACAAAAGGGTTAGCCTCAATTGGATCAATGTTTTGGTGAGGACTTCGATCTATCGTTCCTTGTTTAAATTGCAGTTTTCATTTTGACTAAACATTTATTATAAACTGTTTGTAGTGTCCCCGTCAGTCGGGAGGTATCGAGTGTGGATATTATGTTTGTAAGTTCATGAAAGAGATAGTTGAGAACGGACATGAAGTGGTGGTCAATAAGAATGTAAGCAAACTTTTCTGATACACATCTGTCATATCATACATACACATTAGTCATACAACTATCATATGGACTTGAAGTAGGATGCTATTCTAAACAAATTAATGCAAGTACTTAGCAAGACTGAAAACTATGAATTCGTGCCGTGATAATGTATATAATTTATATGGGAAGTTTTACTAATTAAATGTGTAAAATTTATTTTTACATATGCTTCAAAGAATGCATATGTAAAATTGATCATTTTAGTACTCTTTGATAGTTATATACTTCACTTTAAATAAGTATAAATTATATACTTATTTTATATTTTTTTACTTAGGTTGGCGATGGGGAGGAAGAATACACGGATGATGACATTGATGATATTCGCAAAGAATTGGTATCTTATGTGGCAAACTTTATTATGCCGTGATATTTGTATCGACATATGGTTACAATATTTTTGATAACTTAATATTAATATATTGTATGCAAATGGATTGCTTATATATAATATGATATATATATTTAGTATTATGAGGCATTAAATGTGATTTAGTTTGATTATTTGTCAATCTACAATATATATATATATATATATATATATAATTTAGACATACAATCACGACACACAAATGTGTCATCTTTTTTAATGACATGTGCTTCAACGACACGCAATGTAAGTCGTAAATGTAAGTCATAAATGCGTGTCATAAATTTATGACACACAAATGTGTGTCGTCTTCATTTATGATGGGGGCTTAATGACGCGCAATGTACGTCATAAATGCGCGTCATAAATGCACGTTATAAATGTGCGTCATAAATGCACGTCATAAATGCGTGTCATAACTGCGCATCATAAATTTATGACACACAATTGCATGTCATCTGAGATTTATGACGGTGGCTCAATGATGTGCATTTGTGTGTCATCTGCACCCATAGATGACGCACAATGTGCATCATTAAAGGGGTTTTTTCTAGTAGTGCACCTAGACACAAAGGTGAACTTTATTTAATCTTTAATTGAAAACATGCATGAAAAAATTAAGAGTTAGTTTAATAAATGAACTAGTTTGATGAATGAACTAGTTTAATTAATGAACTAACTTTATTCAATTAGCTAGACGCTTTAAATGCAATGCATGATTAAATGAACAACACACTTATTAAATGCAATGAATGTCATGCAACTAATAAAACTCATGCAAATTCATGCAATGAATGATATCATATGATTAGAATATCCAAGGAGGTAAATACAAACATATGATAAAATATAGTGCATAAATGAGCAGGTATAAGATGAAGTAAGGTAGAACTCCCTTTGAATCATCCTTGGTAAACTTCAATGATTTAATCAGATCAAGAAGAAAGTTAGGGCTGATAAAGATCACATCACTTTGTGATGAGATGAACCCTTCAGTTAACCTGATAAAAGTGATTATAATATTAAGTTGTCCCTCTAAAGTAATTGGTTAAACGCCCCGACTTTATGGGTTCAGCTAGCCAGACAATGGAAAATTAAATCAAATTTATCTGAACAAGGAGTTTTCGATAATGATGGACTAAGGGAGTTAAGGAATACCTGTTATAGTCAATTTCACACGAGCACTCAAGAATTTCATTTTTAGACTGATATTTCTGCACTGCCTTTGTTAGAGGAGCCTACGAAGCTTGAACAAATGAAAGATTTCAGAGGACCGAAACAGAAGATCTAGTAATTGATTATGATAGTTACATCATTTTGTCCGCATCCAATTAAAATGCAAAACTAATCAATGACCGAAAAAATGACATTTTTTTGCTGAATATGAGGCCAACTCAAAGCCAACTCATTCATTTGAACATTTGTCAAAGAGCAATAACTCTGAAAGCATGAAAGAGCTATTTATTCTTGTGATATTCTTTGAACTCATGTTTATGATTTAATTTGATTGCGAGCTTGAACTAATGAGCAATGTTTTACAGAATTCTTTACTCTTAAAATAAGAAAAAGGAAAAAACATTTTCAAACAGGACAGTCTCAAATATGAAAGGCTACAACCCGAGAAGAAAATGGGGCATGGTCGATTCCGAGTACAAGACCGACAGACAAAATGAGGCTCCATCCATAAGATAAAACATAACCAATTCATGTTGCATGCATCTTAGGCATACTTAAGAGTATCACATTTATCATGTTGTTTAGCATACATAATTTTTTTTGTAGCTTTTAGAGTCAAGTTTCAACTCCAAGAATAAGATACTCGATTCAAAAGCACTTTCAGAAATTAAAGGTGATTGCTTAACTCAGCAGCGAGGAGCTACACCCCAACCAATTTGACCTGTCAAAAAACCTTCGAGTTCGATTACACTCACCTCAAAGACATATCCAATTTACAGCATAGCTCAAGGCGAGAAGGGTTGTTGTCAACCAATACCTTCGAGTTCGATTACACTCAACTCAAAGGCACATCCAATTTACAACATAACTCAAGGCGAGAAGGGTTATCTGTCAACCAAGACCTTCAAGTTCGAGTACACTCAGTTCAAAGGCATATCCAATTTATAACATAAGTAAAGGCGAGAAGGGCTGTCTGTCAACAAAAGACCTTTGAGTTCGATTACACTCAGCTCAAAGGCACATCAAATTTACAGTATAGCTCAAGGCGAGAAGGGTTATCTGTCAACAAAAGACCTTCGAGTTCGATTACACTCAGTTGAAAGATGCAATAATTTATAGCATAACTCAAGGCGAGAAGGGTTATCTGTCAACAAAGACCTTCGAGTTCGATTACACTCAACTCAAAGGCACATCAAATTTACAGCATGGCTCAAGGCGAGAAGGTCTATCTGTCAACAAAAGTCCTTCGAGTTCGAGTATACTCAGCTCAAAGGCACGTCCAATTTAAAGCACAGCTCAAGGCGAGAAGGGTTATCTGTCAACATGACCTTCGAGTTCGATTACACTCAGCTCAAAGGCACATCAAATTTATAGCATAGCTCAAGACGAGAAGGGTTATCTGTCAACAAAAGACCTTTGATTCGATTACACTAGCTCAAAGGCGCATCCAATTTACAGCATAACTCAAGGCGATAAGGTTTATCTGTCAACCAAGACCTTCGAGTTCGATTACACT